CCCCCCCCCCCGCCTTGGAGAGAGAGTGAATTTCTTTCAGTGTGATAAATCAGAATGCCTATTATAATAACAACTGTTATTTTGGCATGTGGCTAACCAAAGAAAAGAATGCAATCTTAGGTATATTTGCATGCATTTGTAACTCTGGTCTTGCCCAAATCTTCCAAAATTGTGTGAGTTCTGTTAGACACATATATTTTAGCTGTAGTGCACTTGAGGCTTACTTTGCTTTGGCTAACCAAAAATTATGTTTGATTTAAATGAACATCTATGTAGATATATGCATGTGTATGTATACATGTATTTGAAGACTCATACCTTTGGTTTCTAAACCTGAGGAAAAAAAAAAAAAACCTGAAATTTTCATGGGGCACCACACTGTTCCAGTGTTTCCATGATGGCAGTTATATTTTGCATAACTTAACAGACCTTTAGTACTGAAAAAAAGAAAATGTGGTCTTTGAACTATGAAAAGATATAGGAAAATATTCCACATCTGTTTAACTGGAAAGAACATCTGCAGTGAAAAATATTTGATTTGGACTGTTTATGAGATGATGACATTTTTCTTAAAAGCTGATTTATAGTGCAGAGTAGCTGATTATAGTGCAGAGTATCCACTTTAAATCTTTGATTTGGAAGGCTATGATGAGTCACAGAGTAGACTGTTAGGAATGGAGAAATTCTGTATGTAGATTTCAATAATTGAAGTTCTGGCTTTCATTTTCCTCTCCTTTGCATAATAGAGCATTGCTTCTTGTGAGTTTTAATCTCTCTATCTTTGACTATTCCACTACAAAATGGGTAAATCTTTCCTATTACAACTGATTTTCATTATACTTTTGAAATACTGTTATGAACTACTGGTATCACTAAAGCGATATAAATATATTATTTTCTTTAGGGTGGAGGTAGCCTTTTCATGGATAATGCCCTTTGGCGTGTTTGTGTATCATTTGATCTTTTCTGTAACACAGTTTCTAGTGACAGGTCTGTAAGAATTTGTTGCCATATTTGAAAGGCATTTGTTTTCAAAATGTACAGTAAATTAAGACATCTAAGGTCAAACAGAGACTGAAATCTTACTTGTGTGTTGTGAAACTTCATACTAATGCTCCTGTATGCCAGCAGTGGTGGCCTACAGTGGTGTGGTCCACGTCTGGAATGTAGCATGCTGTGATTTACCTAATTCTTTTACCTGGAGGAGCTAGGAGTGATCAGATTGCAGGTACACACCAAAGAGCACTGTGTTCTGACTGGAAGCCCACCAGACCTGTGCCATTCCTCAGAGCGAGGCAGGGAGCCAGTCTCTCTCAGCAGCATTTTTCTTCTGGCCACCTTGTGCAGGGCAACCTGCCCTGGCAGGCTTTGCAGCTCCTCTGATTTTTGTGCAGGCAGTGTGGGAAGGACAGGGGGATGTGTTAGAGGGCTGCAGTTGCTGGGCAGGCTGTGAGAGAGGGGATGTGGAGAGAAGAGGACGTGTGGTGCCCTGTGGGATTCGGCGGTGGGAAGGCAGCACGGCTTCTGCCTGGCTGTGGGTCGCTGCCGCTCCCAGGATGGCGCCATACCCCTGGTCTGGCCGCTGCAGCTGCTGGGGTTGGATTTTGCTGGCCACCTTTCAGCTCCTGTCAGAATAACAGTTCATCTGAGACCCGGTGCTTTTTGGTAGTCATGCTTTTTTTCCAGAAGGACTCTGTTGGTTTACTGCTTCTACATACTTGCCTTTTATAACACGAGAATCTTAAATAGTTTCAACTTGACTTCAAGATGTGACAGTTGGCTTTACTTTCTTTTCAGCCCTGCAAGCAGACTGTAAGCCTGTACTGGGCTGTTATTAATCCCCGAGCAGATCATTTTCTAGGCCTGAAGGAGAGGAATACTTGTCTGTTTAGGGGCAGTGTTTTGTAAGCTCATTTCAGTTTTATGTTGCTCATCCTATTTTGTTGACTGATTTGCATTGCTGTACTTGAAAAGTTTTTTTAGAAAAACTGTCTGTAGTGGTTTAAAGTAGGCATCTTTTGTTGAAGGTGTTGTATTGTGCTGTTTAATAAAAGATGAAGAGCATGATAAGAGTGTATTTTGCCATTTTAAAATGCTGATTACTTTTTACTTAATTACATCTTAAGTTCAGATTAATAATGCAGGAGCTATCCTGAAATGGAAAACAATCTTTACCAGCATTAGGTATCTCACTGGATGATTTTTTTTCATTCTTCTTCTCTATGTCTACATAGGATGCAGAAAATAATAGGAAAATGTTCTTTTTAATTCACAGTCCTTTGAGCTTAGAACTCCTCTTAGTAAGATGGCAACTCCTAGAATTGTCTCCAAACTTGACTGCAGACCATGGTTTCTGGGAGAATCAAAATTACTTTCCCTCAAAATTCCTACATTTCTTTTTGTTAATAATCATAATAACATCCCTTCCCAACTGTGGAATTGTTCTTCTGTATTTCTGGGTTCTTCCCAGAAAAGAGAAGAAGATCATCATGTCTATCCAAGAAATTATGTTCAGGTAGCAGCAGCATGCCAGGCTGCTTGTCTCATGGGCTGCAGAATGTAGGGAAATTAAAAAGAAACCAAGAGAGCAATAAAGAGGAAAAATATCAATAGAAAATACGTTTGTAGAGAGGTGTGTGGTCAGGAGGAAAAAAGCATGTAAGTGGAAGACCTGGTAAATTAATAAAAGGGAACAGAAGAGACTGTGGTGATGGGTGATGAAGAAACAGGGAAAAACTGTAAGACAGGAGAGCTTGACCCCTGTGCAAAAGGACTTTGTTTTCTTTTTAAGACACGTGGTTTAACTTCCAGTTTTGCTGAGCTGTCACAGAGATATGAAGTAGGAGCGAGAGAAATGTAGAAAGCCTGGGATAATCACAGAAGATAAACAGTAGTGCTCATATGTACACTCAAGTAAATACCTGCATGAAATACGAAAGAATGTGTATTTAGAGATCAAGAGAATGCCAGAGAACTACAGTTGAGATAGCCACACTGGGAGAGCAAGAGAATGATTAAAAAATCATGTGCTGTTTTTAGCAGCATGATTTCAAGTGGATGCAGGCATATAAGAGTTTTGACAAATTGGTGGTAGAGTGGAATTTGGGAACAAGTGAATTCAATGGATTTTAACCATGATAGGAAAAAATAACATTCATAGAAGTTTGTATAAACTGTGATAGATTTTAATCTTTAACCTGGCAAATTTTTTTTTGACTGGTTTGGGTTTGGTGTTCATTTTTTTTTTCTTCAGAAGTTGTCCCAGGAATGAATATGGTGGTCTGTAAAGTATCAGGAAAGTTCGAAGTTTCTTAAATCTTAACCATTTAAAACGCTTTGGCCTAGACTTGTTTACATTCAGCTTCAATAACTAGTTACTTTGATCACATCTAATCCTGGAAGCCCATCTATCTACAGAGGGCTGCTTATTTATTTTATCATACTTAATTCTTCTATAATTACATAGAACAAGCTGTGTTCCTGTGCTTAGCAATGGCTTTGGGGCACAGTGGGAGGAAACTGATGCTAAATGGATAATTCCTGATTTCTTGTGTACAAACTTTTCAAGCTGCTTTACCTGTTTTAATGCAAAAGCAGTCCTTAGAACCAAAGTGTAATCCCAAAGCTGTGTTGATGCAAATGATCTGAGTGCCAAAAAAGAAGCCCTTGTGTGAAGAAGGATAAAAAAGTGGACCTCAAGATGAATTTTGTTTTACAATGGCTGCTTAAAACATGTATGGTTGGTCTTATTAAAAAGAATGTGAAATGTGTGTACACTGTTGGATAAACATAAATGGTTTTGTGCTATTCTTTCTTTCTTTCCTTCCAGATTTGAACATGGAATTCAACCCATCAGATCATCCACGGGCCAGTACGATATTTCTCAGTAAATCACAAACAGATGGTAGGTTACTGAATTTATTACAGTATTTGCTATTGTAGGTATCTCTAAACTCTTTGTTAGAAGGCATGTGATAGTCTTTTAATATATAATTCTCCTCACAAAAAAAAAAAAAGAGGCTTTTACAGGCATCATGTTAGAGTTGAAAGAAGTCACGCCTTTAATTATTTTTTCAGACCAGTAGTAGAAGGTACAGGTTTGAATCTTGTCATGTCCTGAAAATCCAAGTTCCAAGTAGTCATTGTATTAAGTCTACAAATATGGATAAGAGCTTCATATAATTATATTTTAAAAATATTTTTCCCTAAATCAAAGATTTTCTGCTTAATTTTTTTTTTTTTTTTTTTTTTTTTAAACTCTGAACATTAGGCCAAGCTTCTGGGAGATGTAAATGCCAGTGTTGCATTAGCAAAGAAGACAGTCCAGAGTTTTCTCCAATGCAGCTGATACTGTAAAGTATCTCAGTACTAGACTTTAATAACAGAACAACTTCCATCCCACCCAAACATTCTCTCTTCTTCTTTCATTATGGATTTGATATAATCATACATTTGTCTGGAGTGGGTTTTTTTTGTATTCATAAACAAAATGATCCCTCTGGAATTATGTCTGCTAAGCAGGCCTCTTGATGCGAGTTAGTAGAATAGAAGCTATTTATTCTGGCTTTTGCATTCCCTGTTGGACATGTATGACATGTTGTTTTGGAAGTAGATGAATAATCGATGCAAAACACATTATTTTCTACCAAGACTTTCAAAGCAGTTTCTACATAGTAGTTCTGACTCTTCAGTATGAATTCTTTGTCCTTCCTTCTGCTGCCTATAAATGCTATTTTTGATTTACATAGTAAATTGCAGTGCCAAACACATAACTTAAAAATAATACAGTTTTTACTTACTGTATATTTTTTGCTAATTTTTGAGCATGACTAGAACAAAGAGGATATACATTTAGGCCTTAATTGAAGAGTTGATTATGGGAATACCTCTTTTGCCCTTCAGATTGTCCTTGTGCATTCAGCCCTGGTTCTGTCAATGCCTTACTCTGTGATTTTGGATGTGATATACCGTTCTAATCTGGTTTGGTAGCCTTTAATATGGTATTTTCATAGTATACTGTATTATGAAGATGTTGTCTATTTTGAAGTGTTTTTATAGTGGTTTGATACTGTATATCTTATATGGGTGCTCTCTTTCTTGTAACAGCTTGTTGAAAGAAATGGCGGAAAAAAAATTTCCAAATCCAACAACTAAAGTTTTGACCAGACCTGATGCTTGTAATAATAGTGATTAATTTATTACAGTATGAGATTATCTGCAAGCATTTTTTAAATGCCGGTTTAGACCTATGCTAGAGTTGATCAATGAGACTTTGTTCTAGTTTAAGTGATATGGTTAACATCCTTTTGAGTGAGAACAATGCATTATCAACAGGAGTGTAATATTTGTTCAGCTATCCTTGATCATTGTGGAGAAAATCCAAAGACTTACTTTGCTTGTACAAAAGAAAGAAGATTCTGCAGATGTTTATCGACTGATGTATTGCCAAGAACCATCCCGTTCTGGTGAGAGAACTCACAGTAGTGTGCATTTTGCTTGGCTGTACTTCAGGCCCATTGTGGAACCAAATGAGATGTAGAAGTTATCGCACTATTCAGGGATGTTGCCTAACACCAAAATGCAATAAAATGCTGGTTAAGGGGAAAATATAAGGGGGTTTTAGGGTGTGTAGGCTTGTATTCTGACAGCCTGCTGTGTAGTCTAGGGGATCTCCAAGTCTTCTTAAGACAATGTAGAAGGGAAGAGCTGACTTGGCAAAGTTGAAAAAACCTAACTTAGGCACGTAACTACATCTCTCCATTACTTGTATAGTGTTGGGCTGACAAACCTTCCTGTTGACTGTAACAGAAAATATTTCTATAGATAAGACCTGTGGAGATTTAAAATACACATATTGGAAAGCTGAGGGGCATCAGGACTCAAGGTTTCATCCAGGATCTGGCTGCAACTCTGGAGTGTGCATCGCGTGTTTGTACTGTGGGAAATGGCCAAGTCCATCACTATGTGCCAGAGTGATTCGGTGACGTTGCCTTCAGGCAGTTCCACGTTTGCCTCTCTCGTAGCCCTGTGCTCTTTCAGCCTCACTGGTAGTCTTGTAGGACTGTCCTGGCACAGGAACTGTGCTTAAGCTGCTTGTGATCAGCATGTGAGTAAAGAACAAGCTGACTACCCCAAATACAGTGAGACAGGACATGGCATCTCTATAATATGTGGTCAGAATTTCCCATTGTTCTGTGAAGCTTGAATGCCACACTAAGCGTTTAAATCTGTCCTGTTCCTCTTAGGCATTAGTCTGAATGTACCCTTAAGTACTTGAAAGTTCAGTGAATTTGTACAAAAGTTGAAGACTACCTGAAGTAGCTTTTCTAAATGTGTCCAACTCTTTGTAGGAATTTTCTAGGTGCTGAATCTTATGTGAGTAGTTCTCCCTGTTTAGAGAGCTACTAAAGAATACCACCTTTTATGGCTTTAATTTCTATGAGTGCTTTATGAAACTTCTCCCTTATTTGCTGAGTTTGTCCTGTAAGCAGGATGGTCTAGGTGACTAAAAGCCATGCACTCTTTAGTGTGTGGTTGTGGTTAAGCCAGGGTTTCCAAACCTTAGCCCTCCAACAGTGTAACTTCCTTTAATTATAACAAAGAGAGCAACCAATGCTACTTCAGGGCACTGATGATTGTCTTTCCTTTAAGAGGGTTACAGTTGTCCACCTCTCCTGACTTATATTAGGCTTTACACATATAATGTGCTGACTAAATTTTGCAATATGAGTGCAAAAGGGGGCTTCAGACTAAGAGGATTTTGAAATTGTATTTATCTAGTGGATGGAAGTGAACTAAGCTGTACTTAGTCTTCAGTGTTACCTGGGGCCAATCTCCTGTCTTGGATAAAACAAAACAAACAATACTTACAACCTCCCAAAATGCATGGCATTTTTATTGATGTAATCATTAAGGATTTTGTTGTTGATCCTGATATAGGTAACATTAAGACAGTCTATAGAAATTGCACAAAGAAAGTTTCTATTACAGCTCAATGAAAAATACATATATGCATACATGTACACACACGTACATATATGTGTGTATTTCCTCAAACCCTTTTATTCTGGGATATTTTCCTACTGTTTAACAGTAACAGTTTAAAGTGCCTGCAGAAATACAAACAGGTCATTGACCTTAAAACAAGGAAAAATAAGAATTTGGCAGCATCTCAGTCTCCACTTGAAGAGTTTCTTTCCAACTTTCAAGTTTTAAAATGTTAGGAGAAAAGTAGAAGTTTAATTGTTTAAAATGACTCTAAATCTGTTCAGCTTCATTTCATCAAGGCTTCATGTTTGAAAGCCAAAAGCCTGGAGTTTCAGTTAGGAGTTTATACTACAAAATGATGGTTAATTATAACTATGGTCTGGTCTGCTGAAGACCAGGCTGTGCTGTGTGAGCAGTGCAAAGTATCCTTAAACTAATTGAAGCCAAGTGATGGAATTGCCTCTTTACAGTCCTTTTGGCTTGGCAGAAGTGACCTTTTGCCCTATGCAATTATCATCTTACCCTTGTTTAAAGGGAAGTTTGTGATCACGAAGGAGAATGGTTGTGATAAAGTGGGTCTCTGCTATGCCCAACTCCCATCAGCATATGTTCTGGAAAGAGTTGGGCTTTATGTTACGCAGGGTGAGCAAGAAGTACAAAAGCACAGCTGCCTTCTTGTGGTCTCTCACTGAAGAATCCAGGCTAACTGAATTTCTGTTACATGGGGAAAATAGGGGAAAGGAGGTCAACGTGGTGCTCAGAAGAATGTGCAGCACAAGCAATGCTTGAGCTGGGAGGAGCAAGGGGTGTGTAGAAATACATTAATTTGTTCTTTTGGAGATGTGCAATAGCAAATGAGCTGTGAGTAATATTCTTGCTTTGGTAAATAGATGATTGTACTTCTGTGGGGAATTGAGTAATGGGTACAAGGGACAATCCAGAAGATAAAAACTAAGGTAGGGAAAAGAAGGTGATTAAAATGGAATTTGGAGTGTATGTGCAGACTGTTTTTATAGGATTTTGTCCATAAGAACTTCATATGCGGTATAATTGTGATTAAAACACTGCTAAATAACTAATGACTGTGTTCAAAATTTCGCCGTTAACAGGTATTAATTTTCAGTTATGTATTTTATTAGGCTTACATGCAGTTTATCAAAATTGTTTACTGCCTGTACATTGCATTACGCAATACTAGACAAATATTTTGACTATTCATAGAAGACAGTATCTACCATCATTTTGTTGTTCCCCTTTAGATTACTTATATCCCTTGCTGGTGATAAATGCAGTGTGTGGAACTTAAGCATAGTGCAGTGTGTTAGCAGGATTTCAAGCAGTTTAAGTATTTACTAGGTGATCAGAATTTTCCTGCTTTTCCTGTTTAATTCTGTTTCTTATACAATGTCCGTAATTGTGGATCTGAGCATGTACTAAGTGACATGGCTAACATCTGTCATGTGTGATTCTCCTTTCTGCTCCCTGGGAGGAAAATTATGTAAGGATTTAAAAAGTTTTTTCTTATTTTCATTTTCTGTCTGCATTAAACAATTATTTCACAGTATTCACACATACAGCCTTGTTTACGTGAGATTGCTTGCTTATAACAGATCACAAATGATGGCTTCTCATCCAACAGGGAATGGACAGGCTATCCCACCATTATAACACTCTTGTGTTGCTAAGTGCATTGGGTTGCATAGCTTTCAAATCATGGTGCACCAAAGTGCATTTAAATCACCTACAGCATGAAACCATTATTATTTTAATCCTGCAATTTGATTTATGTGTTAGTTGCCTTCAGACTTGTATTCTAAATGCTGTGGTATTTTCACTGGAACAGAGCTCCACAGGCTCTCTATGGGGTGAGTTAATTGGGAAAGTGCTTTAAAAGAAAAAATTAAATAGAGTATATTTAGTCAGCTGTCATAAGCATTTGCCTGACAGTTAAGACTCTATACATCTATCTCCCTTGTTGTTGCTGTTTACATTCTGAATATTTTGGCTAATTGTGGCTTTGACTTGCAACCCTTGCTTGTGGTGACTGTTTCATAGTCACCAAAGTAATACATTTTCATTGTTGTATCTGACATGAGTAATAGTTTCAGGCTTGCTCCTGATCATTACAGAAGGCAGGAGTGTAATGCTTATGCTTTAAGGCTCCTCTATGGGAGTTAGTGCACAGTAAGCTATGATGAGAATTTGCCAACTCCGGAGTGCAGCTCTTTAGGTGCTTTCATACCTGCAAGGAAGAGTAGGCCACTTTGCAGCAAGATGCCTTGCACGAAGGCACTAGTGGCTTAGGAGCACCCCCACAGAGAACTGGTGAAGGATGGCTAATCCATTGCTAACGCGGACTGTAGCTTACTGCATATTAACTTTCCCCTGCGCACCAATGCCTGGTGAAGTACCCAAACGGATGAGAATTTTTATCCATCACTGCACTATTGAGCAAAAATGCCTTTATGCATACAGATATATGTTCCTTCTTTGTTTGATATATAAATATACTTGATTAGTGCAAAAGCAGTTATAATGTTGCACTTAGATAGCCTCCTGTTTTTGCCTTTTTTTTTTTTTTTTAACAAATGGTATATAAGAAGCTTAATCAGGAAAAATAGTCATGTAATATTTCTATCATATTTTGTGTTTTTGCAGTGAGAGAAAAACGCAAGAGTCTCTATATAAACCACGTAAGTGAAAATGCCTCGCTATGCAGCTTTCTCCTTGTTGTCTATATTATACAGTAAATAAGATTTATCACACATGATTTCCATATTGATGAAAGGGTGCTGATGCTTCAAGTGTCTGTTCTGCATCAGGATCCAGAAGTATAGGTCTCGACTACTGAGTTAGTGGGATGGATCTGTTGAAGACAGTATGATGCTCACGAGTGCACGTAGGTAACTGGTACCTGGGACATAGAGCTGCACACATTCTTATGATTTTAGAAATTATTACAAAAGCTCTCAAAATTTTAAGCTGCATTTGTATGCAAGCTTTCTTTGGCAGAGAGCTGCAGCATTTGACGTTTACACAGAAGTTCTTAAGTGCCTGACCAGTGCTGGTGCAATGCAAACATGGACTGACATGTGCTACATGCCGATTGTGAAGATGGGGTTTTGATATGCTTGTGTACTCTGGGCATTTTTCAGTTCAGTTCTCTGCTGCTTGAATCAACTTCTCAGTGAAGCTGAGAGCAAATCCCCTGTAGCCTACTTTCAGTGCAAGACCAGGCTCTTTCTCCTAGTATAAAGCCCTTGGAACCAGTGCAGTTCCCAGTACGTCAAGCACTATGCTGAAGAATCTCTAGTTATGCCTCAGTAAAATTGAGAAGGGAAAGAACTAATTGTCTCCTGAATGGTATTTGCTTTTAGGGTGAGGTGGGGAGAAGTTCTGAAACTTCACTCTATCTGGAAGTATAGGGCATCGTTCCATGAATAATTTTTAAGCCAGTACAGCTGCTGGAAGAAACAGATACAGCTTACAGCCTCCGCTTCCCCTTCTGCTGGGGCAGACATTTGTACAGCTCCAGGTAAACTGAACGGGGACATGAGTGCAGGTAGGTTCAGTACAGCTAAAAGCTAAAACTGATCTGCTCCTAAATGTGATTCACTTCTGGGCTTGCACCTGCAGAAAGAGAGGGAGGCATAGAGGCAGGTATGAGCAGCTGAGTGAGAAAGCAGGACTGCTTCATTTGTTGGCAGTACTGGTTTGTGCAGTGTTTCCAATACTGCTGCCTGGCTTCAAAAGCAAGCTGAGCTTTTCAGTTTCCCAGGTTAAGTTTGTGAGCAGTCATGAGACACTGTGAGGCTTATAAAAGCCTTAAAGTCGGCCCCACCAGGTTAGCAGATATTCTTAGTTCTTCTCACCTTCTATTCTACTGTAAAACATTTCCATTGTTCACAGTGCACGTGAGGGTGGTTTTCAGTGCAATTGTATTTCTGCAAAATTACTTGTCAAGGTAATACACTGGGTTCCTGTAGACTTAATAATGGGTGCTCATTAACCTCCAGCACCCTTTTTAGTCTTGAATTTGGAGGATTAAATGCAAAAAAAAAAAAAATACTATTTAGGCACTGCAGAGCAAGGTATTGAGTTTCTGTGACCGTCCACCTTGTCATGGATGAAACTCTTGTGTGTCCTGAATTGTTTCATGTCATGTGAAAGTTGTGTTCTGTGTTAGGCAGACTGCAAGTGGATTCCTCTGGTGGACTAAGCAAAGATGACTGTTACTAGTGCTGCTGGAAGCACACTACTGCAAACCCTGGTACAAAATAGCTTTTAGGCATTGCTGGAGTTGTTGCAGAAGAGGGAAGGGTGATCATACCACTGAGGAATTGTGTTGCTGGGAGCTTAATGTAGCAGCTAATGAAGCTGATACCCCAAACACTCTACCTCTTTGTAATTTCTTTTCTTTTTCAAGTATCATTCAAAGCATTGGCTAAGGTTGCAGCAATGTAAACTTCACTCAGCAGTCTGGTTTACTACTACCTTATGTCTGACTTCTTTGTACTTATAAAGTACTTCTCCTGAACTGTAAAGTTAAAAATAAACTTTATGAAGCTGAGGTTCTTGCCATGGCTTTCTCTGTGTGTGTTCTTACAAGTCAGTTAAGTTTTTTTTAGCCAGTACTCATAGATAAGCTATATTTTCAATGTAGCCTGTGATATTTAAGTTTCTACTTCAGCACACCTATAAGTATTGTTGAGTACCCCCTAAACATTCAGTCTGCTAGAGCTGATGCACAAACTGGTGATCATGTTTGAAGGGGTTGCTGTGGCCTTGAACTGGCAACTGTGTTTAGATTTGTAGACTGCAGGGAACCATCATAATTTTCCTAGACTGCCTTGTTTAAGAAATTTGAGGAAACAGAGGAAACAGACTTATGAAGTGTATGTGACAAATGATGGGTAGTATTTATATGATAAGCAAGTTTATGATATATCCTATTGATTGATCAGTTGTTTTCCACCACTTTTCAGTGTGTGCTAAGTGCATTTCTAACAGGAGCTATTGCTGCTCATCTGTTGCCTCATTGATGTGAAGTGCTGGTTCCCCTTATCTCCTCTGAAGGAGACAAGCCAGAGGACATAAATTTTGGAGCATTATTTTGTCTTCCTTTTAGAAGAATTCCTCACCATAATGCAGCACTCTTTCATTGTTTATCCATAATGTCATCTTTCTTTTTTCTTTTGTAAGTCTTTTATACTTATTCTTCTTTTGTAATAACTAAGATGAGAAACAAAATATTTTTATCCTTTTGTGCAGTATCTTATCGATTATTTTGCAAGCAGAGTTGAACATCTCCCGAATGATGAGGGTGGCTGGCTAGCAAGATAACTATCAGGAAAACTTGTGCTTTTTCTTTTTTAACTGCTTGTCTAGTTCTGTATAGTAAAAGATGAGAATAGTAGTTTATACAAATACAGTTTTAAAATGTTACCTATGGAAAAAAATTAATATTGACTCTGTCTCATTTAAAAGTGCAAGTTCTCAGTATGGTCATGCCATTTTTCTTTTCCTTTCTTGCTTCCTTTTGTTTGTAGAATATTTTAATTGGCTGAATAGCTTCAGCCAGTTTGATCTCCAAATACAAATAGTGGGTTCCTGCTTTGCTTGACTGCACATTGTCAAAGGCTGACAGTTGCCACATTTCAGATTCACCTTCTCAGTAGGTGTGACGGAAGAAGCCAGCAGCTGCTCTTTTTTCGGGGGAAGAAGGAGTTTAAGCAGGGGTGACAGGGTGCTGTGGAGAAGCTGTCATCTCTCAGTCTTCTTAGAGAATCCAAGGAGACGTTCAACAGGTTGGAGGTGGTGCTGGATTCTTTGCGTCCCTGTAGATGCCGCAGGTTACCCCGTGCAGTGCACCTGGCATGTTTGCTTTCTTCCAGCCTATTTCCATTTCTAAGCAGTCGCGGCAGACTCTGCTTCCCTTTCCCGTTGAACTGGCAGTTGTTGGGTTTTGTTATACCTTTAATGCCTCTTCAGTGTGAGCTTGTCTTCTAATCTGCTTAGTCAAGCTGCTGAAGGGAATAAAGATGCAGACTGAGATAGAGACTTACCTTCTTCAGAGAGGAGAGATTGCATCAGTATCTCTGCCTGTGCAAGGAAAGAAAACAGGAAGACATGTTTTGTGTTGGGGGGGGGGGGTTAAGGGTGGAGAGAGAGTGAATTTTTTTGTTTGCCATAGCTAGCTGTTTGTACTGCATGATTATTTTTTTTTTGCAGGGGAGTGAAAAGCTGCTTTTTTCACAAAGGTTTTTCTAGAAATTTTGCCCTTCAGACAAGATGAAAAAGCTGTTTGCCAAAGCACTTTCTTCTCTTTTTGAGATGAAAAAGAGAATCTGTGCTTATGAGCAGTAATATCCAGTAAAACAAGGGATATTTTTTGCACATTGAAATATTTTTTGAAGGAAGATAAAGGGCAAGAAAAGGGAAGGAAGGTAAACGGAAATAATAGCTCTCTTTTGCAATTATTTGTTTATTTATTGTTCTGGAAACCTTTCATCAGCCTTGTAGCAACAGCTTTCTTTCTGCATCATCTTGTTTAGGAATCTTGACGATTTCCACTGTCTGCTATCTGGCAACTGGATATTCAAATCCCAGCAGACTAATAAGGTTTTTGTCATTCCAAGTAGAAAAACTAACATCTGTGTATAGAACAAAATTTTTTCAGCTTCCTGGGGAAAAGTTCCTGGGCATCACTCATGACAGAACACTGGTTCCTGTGGGTGACCTTGTAGAGATTCCCAACGACAGTCCTGCTGATGAGGGCCTGCAGAGAACGAGAGGGTTCCTTTGCTGTACGTAGTTTGGCATAAGCAATTTCTGTGAGCTTTTTTGCATGCTTGAAATCTTGTATGGTATTTGCTACTGTGTAGCTTCCAAATTTTCTTGTCAGATTGGATAAAAAGCCTGTTCTGCTTCCTTGTTGTAGAACTCCTAGGTGTGTGACTGGTAATCAAACACTTTCAGCTAGTGATTATAAGGGAAAAGAAGATACATGCTGAAATGAGAACACAGTCTGAAAAGTAGTTTAATCTGTGTGAAATGCAAAGCATAACATAAAGTGTGAAATGTTTTTAAGTGGACTGCCTGAGGCTTGCTATCATAAAGGTTTGTAATTGCTGTCCAAATTCCTCAGGATATTTTAATTAACATTCCTTACTCGGAAAGGAGAACAAGGTAAACTGGAAGACAGATTAGAGGCTTCTCAGGTGCTCTTGAAGCTCTCCTAGGGATTGCTTAATGTAATCTTTGCTCCTTTCCATTGCAAGATGACAAAAAAACAGATCTAGAAGGGGGCCTTCACAGGCCATCTGGCCCATCTATCAGGTTCCCTATACTGATGCCATTCATAACAGATGCACTTTAAAATGCTTTTTCAGGCTTCCAGAAAGTTAGAATAAACAGGGTCGGTTTTTTTAATGATTTACCTAAGCTTACTGTTTGGGATTTTTTTTTTCCTTAATATCTTTAAGTCCCTTCCTTCCTGTCATCTAGAGTGAAGAATTTTACTTTTCCCATTAACCTCAAGTCAATAAGTTATGTGAAGTGACATACTTCTGTAGGGGAGGAACAAAAGGTAACTTTTAAGGTAGAATGATAGCACGCAGGAGAGTTATTGTACAAGGCTACTCTACAATACTTGCTGTGCTGGGAGCATGGCAAAGTCCCTCTGGTCAAGTTG